CAGCTGTGACTTTTTCATCCTCTTATGGTTTCATGAATCTGAGACGAAGCAGATTAATAAAACTTTAATGAAACTGATCAACAGATTTGTTTTCGCTTTGACATTTAGGAGACTTTCTCTAATGATCAGTTGCAGGGAAAAAAACCTAATTAATCCACTGCGGCTTAAAGTTGTAAAACAAGAAAAAGTCAGACAGTAGAGGTGAATGAATGATACAGCACTGATCAATTAGACAATATGAAAAAATAATGATCTGAAACTGAATCACTGATTAAAGGATTGATTAAGCAATTCATTAAGAAAAAACTATAATGTTTGTTTGGGGGCTTTTTTCTCTGTTTTATATTATTTGCTTGCTGAATATTTGTTTTTAAATCTAAAAATGGTATTTGATTTGTCTGTTATTCGATGTTTTACAGATTACATGTTAAATTAAAAATCTATTCTCTATAATGAAAGTAAGTGTTTGTTGCAGCACTATAGATGTGAGCCTCTAGAATCAACAGCACCTTTAAACCAGTGATGACAGCTCTTACACCCCCATGCTGTATCATTAATTATCTTTTTTGCTCAATCACATAATGTGGTCAAGTTGTGCTCCAAACTATGCACGTGTCATAGTTTAATTATATATGCTGCTAAGAGACATCTAAGAGGCAACTCAGTATCTGGAAATCTCAAACATATCCTCACAGAACAGTGGGGGTCAACTTTCAGCTGATGCAAAACTTATCAAAAACCCAGAAAAAATTCTAACTTGCATGACAGCACAAATTTGCAATCCAGTTCCAAATGCTCTGATTGGTCTTTCTGTGCCCCTGCAGGTCCAGGAATGTCAGACTCCTTCCTGCAAGCCACCACGCGTGGTCACGGGTAATTCTCTCCAGCTACTGTTTGGCCAACACTGATAAGACATATCTGTCTGAGTTGATATTTCTCAGCCATGAGATCAAACAACCATCTGCTTGTCAAAGTAGAGGCTTGGATCTGAGCTGTGCTTATCAACACCTCCTCTGATATGTCTAGCATACAGATTCATTCACGCCACGTCTCCTGTTAGAACCGGGAGGAGCTGTGATCGCTGTGGCAAACCCAGCGTCAAAAACCCTCTGACCCCTTAACCATGATTGCCATCTCCCCATCACCCACACATCTCAGTATCAGGATTACATCAGGATACAGTTCAAACGTGGAGAAAACATGTATAATAACACAGATTTTGCAATTGAGGATGCACCAACCTGATATGCAAGATTCAAGCAGACCTGTTAACCCAAACCACTTTGTAATACAGTACTTTAATCAAATGTCATATAAAATTTAGTGTTTCAAAAGTGATTTTTACTTTTAAGTACCGTTCCCTGGTCAGACATCATCTTAAAGAAACCTGATTCCAGTGAGGTGCCTGCAGTGAGGTATGCAGGATTTAAATATGGGGAATTTAGTCAGAATCAGGAAATGTCAGATGGGCTATTGAGGCACCACAATGTGTATTGTTGAATAAAAAGATTCAGTGTGATTTTATTTTGATTGTCCTAAGTGTAAATTTGTCTGTAGCTGCAGTTGAATACATAAAAATACATAAAAATATATATTCATATTTATATCAGGCCAGTACAATGTACATTTCTGCTTTATGGCTGTATTGGATTTAAAAGGTTTCGCTTTACCATTGATTTATCAGTGGATTAACCAACTGGAATCACCACTTCACAGTTGTATCCCTCCACCAACCAGCTATATTACAGGGTCACACTCTCCCCTTCTGTTCCTCAGGTAACGGCCAGAAATAATGATGTCACAGAGAAGCCGACCTTTGACCTTTTGGGTATAAAATGTTATCACTTCATCATTTCATCCTCGTAGATTATCGTAATTAGAGCATCAATTCTTGAGCTCTGGCCCAAGACATGTCACAGTGACCTTGACCTTTGACCATTAAAATTGAATCCTGTCATCCTCGAGTTCAAGTGAACGTTGGTGGCGAATTTTATACGGTTCCCTGCAGACGTTCCTGCACAACAATGAAAACCAAAAAAATTAAAAAATTATTATCATTATGCCCGTGGCCACAGCTGTTGTGCCTATGCATAAAAACAGACAATTTTACGACTGGTTATTTTATATATAAATGTTGATAGATATTATCAATAGCACAGACTATAACCTGGATCAGTGCACAGACTGCTTAAAATGTCTTCTCTCAGTTTTACCATATAGATTTAAACAGTATTTCAACTAACATCTGTTTTCACATCATTTTTTTAATCATCAGCTGAGAAAATGCTTTTTATAATTTACAGATATGTCTTGAAATTGTTTGTTGTCTCATAAATCGAATGTATGCTATTTAAAAGCAGCAAAAGCTGGCACACTTGCAAAGCTTCTGCATTTTTGCTTGCAAAAGTGTTGCAGATTAATTTTCAGGTTAGTATAGGAGATTTATACAGTCTGTAATTTAGAAAATGAATTCATCAACCCCCTATAATCCTCCTGGCTTGACTGAACAGAACGAACAAAACTGAAATGGGTCTGGACATCAACTCCACTTAAAAGAATAAGAACTGTTTGCTCCCTTATAGAGCTGATATAAGAGATTTATAGAGCATGCACATCCCTTGCTGTGTGGCTTTTCAGTCTGAAAGCTCTGGAAGCCTCCTGACTGTGAAACCCTGCATTTCATGTGCAGATCAATGGGTATTGATCAGTGAATACAGACACTGTTCGGAACATCACAGTTACCCAGGGGGAGCCTGGAAATGGCTTTTGGAGACTTGGGCTAATGTCATAGATAGAGTTGCATTTATATTCACTATAAATATATATGTGAATTCACTCTCCTACAGGAAGGACCATAGATAATGGGGGGTTCATTAAAGATAGGAAAATATATAGTGAAATGCAGGCAAGTCATTTCAAGGGTTGTCTTGAATTATCCTACAAGATAAATGTGATTTCATTAAGGCGCTTGCACCCTCGCCCACATGCACGCGCATTTACTCGTCCCCGCTTCCTCTCCTGTGTTATATTTCCATTTTTAAAAAAGTATTGATATCATGTGCAAACTGATGATAACGAGTGCGTGTGCGCGTCAGAGCGACACTTCGGCTGTGCGCAAAAACGCAGCGTCTCCGAACAGCCGCACTCATGAGCCGGGATGAGGCGATGAAAACAGGACCACGCTCGTTAGAACGACACTTAAAACACACCACTCACGTCTCTGAAGCGGTTCCAGTGCTTGAGCTTGCGGCTGTACTGGGAGATGGTTGACAGCCATTGCTCGTCTTCCATGAAATTCCCGGCTTTCCCCGCGTCTTTCGCACTTTTCACGTCCACCTGGAGCGACAAGCCCGCCAGCAGGGACAGGCAAGCGACGAGCCGCACAGCGACCATGGTGCTCGGGCAGTTGGGTCTGGGATGTATCCTGGTTCACCTCCTGATGCTGCTGATGCTGATACTGATGCTGATGCTGCTGCCCTCTAGCCAAGGATCCACAAACACCAGACTGCTGCTGCTGCTTCAACACACCAATGGAAATGAGAGGCAGAGAGAGGAGGAGAGGGAGAGGACACAGGGAGAGAGGGAGGGAGGGAGTTAAAGGGAAGATTAGATCTTGCACTGATCATTTATTTCTGCTTACTTCATTACTTCACTGTCTTTTCTTTTTGTTTGTGAGCAGCCCACACACTCTCTGTCTTTTCTCTCCCTCCCAGACACCCCGGCAGTCACACACTGCAGATGAATCACACAAGTGGAACAGATGCACTGATGAACCGATCACATTCCAATTCATGGCATTCTGGCAAACGACCACGTGTTTGTCCAATATTTGTGCCAGCAAGACACGCCGGTTCCAGCTCTAACAGAATTACACGGTGAAATTAGCAACTCAATCAAAACAACAGAGCCGGAAACAATGTGTGGGGAGAACTGCTGCAGTTGAGCTGATGCCACAAGGGTAGCGGTGTCCAAACTGGGGCTCCCCAGACTGACTGAGGGTCACCTAGGGACTGCCCAGGGGCCTCAGGGGCAAACAAGGTGCAATTAAGGTTAAAATTAGTTCAATTGTATTCTTTATTTATTAATTAGTAGCTGAAAGAGGGACCATATAAGCAGGGGCGGTTCGTCAATGGGGACTTGGGGGGGCACTCAACCCCTGCAATCTGATTGGCCACCCCCAATTGTCATTAGCTCAAGGTGACGCTGATCATTAAGTAAAGCTGGTTGTCCATAAAATTGAAGCAAAGCTGAAACTTAGTATAGGGTTGAGCTGTGTAAAACTCTGGAGGGCTTTTATTTTGAAACAAATACAGGAAGTGGTTCCACGGCTCTGCTAAACTTATTTAGCCACTCAAACACACATAAGAGCGATGAAAATGTTGATTCATTTTCCACTGTCCACAGTAAAATGAAAAGGTCATGTGCACCTTCATTTCAAGGTGAAAGAGTTAATGTAGCCAACAAAAGCAAGATGGAGAATTAAATACACCGTAACTGTGCAATCTAAGAAAAGTAGTTGTTTTCCATTTAGTAGTCTAAATATTGAAAAAAAAATTCACTTCTGGGTGCCCCCCCAGTTTAATTGTTGTTACCCCCTGTACCCTCCATCTAAAAATCCCCCCCCCTGTGTATAAGAGTGACTCACCTGGATTTCTGTAAAATCTGAACGTTTACACAAATACTCTATTTATAAATGTTTGAGCTATTCTGGATAATTTTTTCTCTCAATTAGTTTTAAAGTTTGACAGCATCTGCCTCCAGGTGCAGCATCAAAAATGGAGCTGGAGGACACAAATGCAGGAGCAAGGTTCAGGTGAAAAAATAACAAAAATGTCTTTTATTGTAGACCAAAGAAGACCAAAATATTCATACCTGACGAAACACGAGGAACGGGAAGACACAACAGACATATGGGTTGAGGGAAACAAGACGAACTGACAGAGGGAAGCACAGAGATGCACAAGGACGCAGGAGGCGATGCTGTAAATCAGCAGGACACAGGCCTTCAGATAGAAAAGTCTGTGATTTGTTTGGACACCTCGTCTGTGTGCAGTTAAGATGGATCGTGGGATTGAAGAGTTAAATTATGACACATTCTGGCTGAGCTGCACCTGCACATGATTTCAAGCTCCTGCCGCTCCCTAAACTCTCTGTGCCCTCTGCCTCTCACTTCCCCCGCTTTCTATTTCACGCCCATAAAGATAAACATAATCCAGCGCCGTGCTCTGATTCATTTGAGTTTCCCCAATATTGGTCGAGGCTGAGCAGCCGGGGGCAGGATCCTGTTCCTGTGATGCTGCTTCGCTGGCTGAGCTGACTCTGACACTGCATGGCATCTAAAACAGTTGATGTGGCAGATGCAGCGTGTGCACAGCTCCACATCACGGGAAGCAAAGGGCAGCAGGAGAAATGTCCTGCAGCGTTAGCCGGCTGTGCACATCATCAGCACAAGGAGCCGGACACGATGTGTTGATCAAGAGGTCGTCATTAGTCATGTCATAACTAATGGTCACTCAGCTGAACTGGGTCGCTCGGGTCGCATTTGAAGTCCTGCTTTGCATCATTAGCCTTTAAAGATTGTTTTCGGGCTGAGATGTTATGGGGAAGCTTCCTTCTGGACCTTGACGGAGGAAGACCCCTGAGGTTTTACTACATGTGCAACAGCAAATGACAAACATGGTCACGAGGGGCTTGTACATCACTTCAGATTTTAAGTTTTTAGAGATGAGAGGACTCTGAGGATCTTTTTTCTCTTGCGGCGGGCTCTTATGAGCTCGCCTCTTCTGTTCCAGAAGTGGCAGCAATGACCAGGAGCCACTCAGGACCAGTAATCACAGCAAACCACTCCGGTGAATTATTTTCTGGCGAGAGTGCGCTCCACTGATCGGACTGAATTCTCTGAGATCAATGTCCTCCAGCCAAATAACAGCACCAGTAAACCTCAATATAAACTAGACAATATGCGCTTACTGAGAATTCATCCACAAATAAATCAAGTTTTAAAATGAGTGTCTCTGTGCCTCTCAGCACCTTGTTAGCATTCAACTGCTGCGCTCACGCTCTCATGAGGCCCTGACAGCACTTCAGAGGCTGAGCCACGCTGCTGAATGTCAAAGTAGTGATTCTTAATTTTCTTTCATTTGTGGTGATAAAGACAAATTTGTTTCAAAATACCAACAGAAAATACAAGTGCGGCAATTAATCACAACATCTGGCATCTGGTGTTAATCATAGACTGTAAAAGATGCAAAATAAAAATATATCAAAGATAAGAACGCTGCCATCTTACGCTGAAGTCATAATATGGAGCTGGTTCTGCCGATGCATGTGCTCGACCTATCGCGAGTCAGTCTCAGCGGTCAATCAGGACGTTTCCCTCCCACACTTGCACATTTATTAGGAGGCAAGGTTTATGACCCACACTATATCCAGCCACCAGGGGGCGAGCGAGTCACTTTGGCTTCACTTGGGGCACTGTGATGTTGTCCATCTTTATTTCCAGTCTTTAATCTTGTGGTTATTATTATTATTACTTATTCCTGTGATTCTTTTCTATTAAAAAAAAAAAGTTAACACTGTGTAAATGAAACTGCAGAAATAAATGAACAAGAGTTTCCAGTTTTTTTTTCTTACCTTTCTAAGATCCTGTACGAACGGATGTTTCCTCTCACAGTTGACTCATGAGGATGTGGCTCTTGCATAATGTTTTGATACCTGAAGAAGGTTTAAAGTGCAGCATTAGTTATCATAGCAACAAAGTTTGAGTTGATCTGCCTAGTGAAAAATAACCTGTAATCAGAATTACATTTAGTTTCAACTTATTCATTCACATACGTGTCCTGATGCATGATTCTTAGTTTTTCATAGAAATATATCAAGTTTTGGTGACATCAAACCTGTATTTGTTTCAATCTTTTATTTTCCTTCATATTATTCGTGGAAGTGGCTCCTTTGTAAGAAGACGACAGCTCCAGACTTGACTCTAGAAGCTGTGGTTGGTCAGTGTTACTCCAGCCGCCGGGCCCGTTTTTAATCACTGAGCAAATCAATGACATGGAACTTGATTCAGCAGCGAGGTAAAGTTAATCCTGATTCATGACACAAATTCCTGGTTTTCCAGCCACTGAAGGGGCATATTATCACACTGGCCTGGTGATTCATTGTCCATCATTGATTTGAACAAATCCTGATCACTCACAGACCCGAGACAAACCTGAATGTGCAGCCTCTTACATTTTACACATGGAAGCAGCTTGTTCACCATTTTCTTTCTCATATCAGAGTTAAGCTGTGCAAGTGTCGTTAATTCTAAAGGGATTAACTGATGTCATCAGTTCCTCCAGTTCCTCTTTCGGCAGATGTTGATAAAAGAAAATGATCTATGCTGTTCACCGAGCATAATCAATTTGCACAAAGGAAATTCAGGGGAGGAAGCTTCATTTAAATATCATCAGACGAGACTGCAGCAACATTTGAAGACTGGCTTATCTTTGAATATTTGCCGTCTACTGATGTAAACACAGCACATCCCTTCTCTGTCTCACAAACAGCTTGTGAGGCCCAACGTGAACTTCCCTGCTTATCGAGGTTTTACATGCGCTCACACAATGTAACGACTCCCAGAGTATGGCTGTGGGAATTCCCCTTTACGCAACAATTAATCGCAACAGGCCGTGAGTGGATGTTTTACATATTTATTTAGAGCGTTCAAAATGTACCAGCACGAAGGAAAACACAAACATAATCCTCCAAACTCGTTTCTGTGCAGGATTCAGCAAAAAAGAATGTGCTGAGACACTTTGCTTTAAGTCCATTCGTGTTCATCGCCTAATGGAAACGGTTTCCCACAATGCTTTGCTGTCAGCTCAGAGCTCCTTCTTCAGCAAAGATCAGTGAGCACCTTCTGCCTCGTTCATCATGGACCTGCAACGCACAATCATAATCATTATTTGTACTTTAAAACCAACAACTTGTGATTAATCCAATTAATGATTCACCTGTTAGTAGCTGTTTATAGCACAAACCCTTTTTCACATATAAAATGTCCGAAAATGTTCCACATCAAGCCGAAAATACAAATAAAACAGGAAGCTGCAGAAAATGGTGTTTTTGATATTGTCTTTTGCTTGATAAAAGGCTCAGCATTTGATTTATTGTCCCAGTTGTTTAATACATTTTTGTCACGAAACTAATCAAACAAGCTACTGCTTAAAGACACGGTACGGTTTATAAAATAAAACCTAATAAAAGGTAAGAATATGTCAGTCAAGCTGTAGAAACAAATAATACAAGCAATTGCAGTAGTAAAACGTATATTTTGCTTTCTGACATTTTGTTTCTGAATGGAAAAACAATCATATAAGATTGAATATGTTCTGTATAATGGGTACAGATTCTCTAGAAGCAGACTTGTAGATTATAATAAATAAATAATGAGTGTTGCTCCCTTGAAACGGAGGGATAGATTTGGAGCTACAAGGATAAGGAGGAGTATTCGGTTCTCTGTTATGAATATATTTTCAACTTCCCTCCTACTTAAACATGTGTATATTCCAGTTATGTCGATGAAAAGTTGGTAAAAAGGACATTGAAGCATAAAAACAAACACATGCCGCAACCGTATTTGTAATAAACAGCCACTGTTGATGCTTGTTCGTAAAGAAACAGCACGTTCCTGGAGTGAGATTATTTAGTGAGTAATCTCGGGTGACGTACAACTGTAAGTGGAGCTGCTATAAATGTGTATACATTTAATTCAATGGGATTCAAACTGGGTCACACGGCTATTAAAAGTGCAAAGTTAGTTGCGAGCGGTGTGACAGCAGG